ATTTCCGTGCGCAACAGACTGTCATACGTGGCGTTCCAGAGGTCCGGGCCAAGTACAGACCCCTGTGCCGCTCCGCCGGTTATACGTCTCTTTCTCTGACCTTGTGTTGTGTCGTGCAAAAACCAACGGTCTCTGAGGTAGTCCCGGATCATATCTAGCAAGTATGTTGGAACCTTGAAGGACCGTTTCAAGGCCTCCAGCATGTCGTCCCATCTTGCCGAGTTGAAGGCGTTCTTGACGTCCAGTGTGACTAGCAACACTATTGACCGCGCCTGGTGGCAGGCTTCTTCGGCCTTATGTACCGCCCTGACTACTTCGCCAATTGCTCCAATAGTTGAGTGTCCCTTCCTGAAGCCATGTTGTCGGGGTGAAAGGCCTCCCTCGCTTTCTATGGCTGACGTCAAGCGTATTTTGAGCAGACTCTCCATCATTTTGCCTGCTGTGTCTAGCATGCAGAGTGGCCGGAAGGATGAANAGACATCAAGCGTATTTTGAGCAGAATCTCCATCATCTTGCCTGCTGTGTCTAGCATGCAGAGTGGCAGGAAAGAGGAAGGAGAGTTTGGGTCCTCTTTGCCCTTGGGTAAAAGCACCAGCCTCTCCTCCTTCCATTGGCTTGGGAAGACCCGGGCCCTAAGGCAGCTGTTGTACATGTTAAGCAGAAGATCAGGGCTCGTTTCCGCTGCTAACCTGATTGCCTCCGCTGGTATGCCATCTGGGCCTGGAGCCTTGCCGGCTTTCATGCTTCGCAGGGCTAGCTTCAGCTCGTCTGTCGNCTCAGCTGTTATGCCATCGGGGCTTAGAGCCTTGTCGGCTTTTATGCTTCGCAGGGCTAACTTCAGCTCGTCTGTCGAAAACAGTCGTGCCTCGGCTTGCTCCTCGACGAACACTGTATCTGCTCTTAGTGGATGTGTGGGAAATAGTGCATCCACTATATTCTTAACCGGGCCTCATCCCTCGCTTGCGATGATGTATGGAACTTTTTCATCACTATTTTGTATCCCTGGCCCCAGGGATCGCGATCCACTTCGTCACATAGCGCTTTCCAGCAGTTCCGTTTACTCTTCTGTATCTCGGCCCCAAGTGCTTTCTTAGCGCTTTTTTAGGCTGCTGCTCTGGCCAGCGCCTCAGGTCTGCCACGAGCGCGCGTTGCAAGTCTCCGCATTCTATTGCAGGCCCTTCGCAACTCTGCAATTCGGTCACTCCACCAGTATACCTGCTTTTTACCTGACCATGCTCTCCTCTGCGGCATTGGGGCTTTGCATGCCATGTGAATGCAGCGCATGGCTTCTTCGACCAGATTAGCACAAGACTCCCTGTTGTGGGTGAAATACCTTGGGAATCTGCTAGGAGTGATGTGTCGAACTTGCGAGCATGTGGCCGGTTATATCGCGCAATTCGTCTTCAAGACCTTCGAGCTTTTCCCTGAAGACAAGGACTGTGTCGTTTGGACACAGGTAGCAGCTCACCAGAGTGATTTGCGCCATTTTCGCCCAGACGTAGCAGCGTCCGACCCCGCTGCTCTCTGCGCGATGGTTGGGGTTAGCAATCCATAACGCGGCCGAGCCTGATTGGTCAACATGCTAGGATTCTTTTGTTCTATAGGGTTCACTGATGATGGCAGCACCTGCTCTTTGTTCAAAAACCAATTGGTCCAGCAGGTCATCAGCTACCCTACTCCTGTTCATATTGCCTTGTATAAAATAATTAATCATATTCTCCCAAGCTTTGTCTTAGCCTCAGTAAGGGCATCCCTGAAGGCCTTGCACGCTCCCGACCCGGGCAGGTGATGGGAATTTTTCTGTCCATCTCCTGCCGAGCACAGGTAGCAGCTTGGGCTTTCTTTACACGCAGAGGCTATGTGGCCCTGCTGACCACATTTCCAGCATGAACTGCTTCTGTCTGGGCCTTTGCATGCCGCCTTTTTGTGGCCATACCCCAGGCAGCGGAAACACCTTTGGACATCCGTGCGCTGTCGGACACGGCAGATAATCCAACCTACTCGCAGCTTCCCCTTGTCAATAAGAGTCCGGCCTGGCAGTTCGTCGATTTCCACCACGGCCATTCTTTGTTCTCGCGAGTTTACAGCGAGGAGAGAGACGCGAAGTTGGCCATTCATCTTGTCTCCTAATTCCCCGCGTATAGCGATCTCCACTTCTGGGGCCGTGGTTAGGCAATCCATGCCCAGAACTTCTAGACGTAAACGTCTAGTGAGAATACGGGCGGCGTCTCCAAGCTGGCCAATGGCAGTGCACACATTTTCCTTAAATGCTGAGTGTTCGCCACAGCGCTCCATTTCGATGAGCACGCCGCCTTCGCGGGTTTTCCGAACAGATCGAATTACGGTCTCCGTCTTCTCGGGTCGGAGCTTACCACGTATCGTTCCCAACACCTCTGTCTTAACTTTACGACACTCACTATTGACAAGATTTGACCATTTATCTTAATCAGCCTCATTGCCAGAGTCGTGTCGAATGCAAGTCGTGGTTTTTCGAGAGTCGAGTAGTGTATTAAAGCGCAAAAACACTTGGCAGCACTGCATAATTTTCCACGATTTTCGTCGTTTACTTATGCCAGCACGACAGTAAATAGATGTCGAGTCGTACAATTTAGCTCAATTTACGACTTACGCAATGAGGCTGAATATTTTTTAATTTTAATAATTTTTTTATAAATATATGGTATATTCTTTAACGAAAACCTTATAAATCCAAGTTTCAATCATCCAAACGTGTGACCTGTAACAGGTCTATTCTGCACGTTACCGAAGATTTTGTAACCGAAAAATGCTATTACCAAAAAATGTTACCAGTTCTTGTCACCGCTATTCTAGGAACGTTGGTAATGCAGTTGAAATATTCAGCAATTCAGCTATGAAGAATTGTACAAATTCTGGCATTGCATATTTCAAGGGGTAATACTTTGGTACCAGCTTATGAGATGGTAACAAAATTTACCGGCTACAAGAGTACACAGAATGCGAAAAGGGTTTAAGAATTGACAGACACTTTAATGACCGATTACAAACTTTTTATTACCAGCGCAGAATAGACCTGTAAATGTACTTTTCGACATTTAGCTATGTATATAGTTCATTTCTATAATGTCGTCTTCCTCGTGCTCGTAGTATAAAATTAGTGCTGCCAACCCCAATAATAATTATCCAGACCGTTTCCGTGAGAAATGATCGTGATACTGAGCTAGATAACCCAAGGAAACACAACTATAAGGGTCGGTTGTTCAAATGTCTGATTAACACAAATCGGAGGTAGAAGCTCCGGTTAAATACAACAACTGCTTTATCGATCCCATGTTATATGCATGACGTCCAAATCGTCGATAATGATGTACTGGTGATAACCAGACATTGAACAACCGGCCCTAAAAACAAATCTACACTGATGTGTTCTTTTGGCACGGGGGGTGTATGCATGTATGTATGTACAAACAAACAAACAAACATAGATAATGGTGCACAAATTTTAATTCGATATGTTTTTTGTATTTGAAACTGATTCCAATGTCGCAGGAACCATTGCTTTAATTACATTAGGAAGTTTTTTAAGTGATAAACTTAGACCATGTGTAACTAAAAATTCTAAACTACCACTGAAGAGGTGGCGCTTAAAAACTTGCAATATTTCTACTTCTGTATTCTTCAAATTTACCAAACCATACATACAGTATTGGCCAATACAATAGCACCCCCATTTCAAAGTGATATTGTTTGCCACTCATGTTTATTTATTTATTTTTAAGAATTTTCAATTAAAACACAGTTCATTCTCTCACAAAACTCACATAAACTCAAGCTTAAAACTTTTTAAAAGACCGCAAAAAAGTGCAACAAATTTTCACCCAAATTTCAAACTTTTTTCTCAGAAGCGGTAGAATTTTTTTGAATACACAGTTTTATAGCCCATTCAATTTTAGTCTAATAATGTGCAAGTTTCAAGTTGCTAAAAGTTACCGTTGATTTTTTAGAATTTTTTCGCCGAGGATGTTGCGGGTTTCTGCCATATAAAAATAAATTGTGTTTAGTCCTTATATGGAAGCAAATGAGACCAAAAAAATCTAAAAAATCAACGGTAATCTCTAGCGACTTGAAACTTGCACATAATGGGACAAAATTGAATGCGCTATAAAACTGTGTACTCAAAAAAAAACTAGAGCTTCTGAGAAAAAAGTTTGAAATTTAAGGGAAAGTTTGTTGCATTTTTTGCGGTCTTTTCAAAAGCTTAAAACATTGGTTTATATGGGTTTTGTTGGAGAATGAACTGTATTTTAATTGAAAATTCTTAAAAACAAATAATTAAACATAAGTGGCAAACAATATCGCTTTGAAAGGGGGGGTGCTATAGATATGTCCAATACTGTATGTACATATTACATACTACTATCCCAGCCAGCAAATTAAGCCGGAAACCGATCCGAAAAAGGACAATAAAGTGGATGAAGTGCGGATTTTTCCCACTTTTGTGTGCGGCCGAAACGTATGTGAAACGGATACGTTTTCAGCTGGTTTTTCTGAAATTTGTCTGATTGAATTTTTCGATCAATACGCTTTCCTTCTGCACTTCACAGATACTTTTCCATGGTTCAAGAGAAATAAAATAAAATTAGGAAGCGCCTGACGGCATTCGGCACCTTCTGGAAGCTAACAAATAGCGGCACACTCCTCTGCACGCTCAGCCAATGCCAACTACGCAAGCCATGCTTTCGAATGTTTAGCTTGAGCAAATAAAATACATCATCTTTTTCGAACGTTTCGAACGTTTTCCGGATACGAAAATTGATGATAACTGTAGGAGTTTTTTCTATTCGTTTTCGGATACGGAAAATTGTACTAAACTGCACTGTCGGCAAAATTTACGTTTCTTTGCTAGCTGGGACTGGCTGGGATGTACATAGTATTAAGATAGTCTCCAACTGCGCTTTACACACCATTTTAACATTTTCGATTCTGTTAACTACATTTGGATGATCTGTTGCATTTCATAGAAAAACATCGAACGCAACGTAGTCTGTTCTACATTGGGCGTAAAGCCGCACTGCTTCAGTCAAAGTCAGAGTAGCACCAGCAGTTTCGCGAACCACCGCTACTCGTGGGGCAGCGGCTACAGCTACAGTTCGTCAAGTTTGCAAAGCAATGCTACACTCGGTTTGGGCTCGGCTAAAGATGACCTCTGGGCGGCAATACAGACCAACTACAACTATATCATGGACACAAACTTGTTGGATAGCTGTAAAGAGGCAGAGCGACATCTAGCGGAACAAATTGATGATGATGTGGATTGTAAGCAATCGCAGTGTTGCTTGAAGGTGAGTAATTTTTCAGTGTGGTAGTTATTTCGAATGCATCGGCTAACTCTTTTGTTGTTGTTATTGTTTTTATGTATGGTTAGTTGTTGGGTGTAACACAACGGCGCGAGATGCTGTGGCATGATCCGAAAGAGTTGCGCAAGTGGTTGCGTGAAATGGAAGAGCGATTGGAGACAGCTCCCACCTTATCGGCCGCTACGGCGTTAACGACGTCGGAATTGCAGCGCTGTTTAGCAGAGCATTCGGTAAGTAAAGCAGTTCGTTACGACGTCCATTGTTTAACAAGAATCGCAGGGTGGTGCACAATAGGTGGGATGTAAATTTATGAAAATTTTTAAAATGAATATGTGTTGCAAACGCCCTGTGGTTTCAATTGAAGATTAGACTTCCGGGCTCTGCTCATAAAATGGGCAACTGAAACTTTGATAAAACAAAATTGTGAGTTGTGACACAGGAAGAAACCTTTTCCACATATGTATGTACATACACTAGACAAAGTAAAAAGAAAATCGGCATTGCGACCGGAAGCTCGACGTTAATTCCAAATCTACGGCTACTACTCTGACGAACTTTTGTTCGGACGATTTCTTCGGAACAAAAAAATGCGAAGCGAACAAACGTATGTATATTTTTGTTGCGACGAAATCGTCAGAACCAAAGTTCCTCAGAATACGCATGCATAGTAACCGTAACTTAATTAATAGCCCAGTTATGCATAGTTGCACTGCTATACCATTTTTACGTAAAAATCAAAACCAAACAGAATTCTACATGTTAAGTGCTATGGGTTGGGTAACCGCTTACACACAAAGCCCATTTAACAGACAGATTCTTATGTAACAACTCCCATGTAAACAATTATTTTTCACATAGGAATAACACATAAAGTGATTTCTCTTTTGAGGTCAATATAATTTTTTAGGATCAACCAAAACAATCAATCAATCGAAAGTTTCCGGTATTACTTTTTGTCTGTTTACATGGTGAAAGTTCCACTTTTAGCTATGATACCAGATATTTTTATGTTTATAACATTAGCTGAAAATGTTTACAAGTAATTTTTAAGCAAAAAAAAAAACAAAACCGTCTTCAATTCTTATATAAAATTTTAAAAGTACAGTTGATTTCTTCCTTATCCAATGAACGGATCTTAACCAAATTTGTATGGGACCACCTCCATATTGAGGATAAAGAAGTGCCAAAATGTGCCAAATAGAAAAATAAAAGTGACAAAAAGGATGAAATTTTTTCTAATTCTTCCTATTTAGCATCAAAACTAGAAACCAGAGACCATAACGATTATAAGAAAAAAAATTAAATATTGATCTANACAAAAAGGATGAAATTTTTTCTAATTCTTCCTATTTAGCATCAAAACTAGAAACCAGAGACCATAACGATTATAAGAAAAAAAATTAAATATTGATCTATAATTATTACTGAACAATGGAAAAGTTGTTTTCGTCACGCGGAACGATTATTTTAAGATGTAAATTATTTTCGTCTTCTCATAATAATTGTATGGGATTTTTATATTTTTTCGTCTCGGGACGTTTGTGTCAAGACGAGAATGATTTACGTCTTCTCATGATAATTATATGAGCGTTTTATTTGTCTTCTCTTAATAATTATATGGAAATTTTCTTGAAATGAATCTTCTCAATTGAGTTCGGAGATTCGGCGCGTTAAATATTTAGCGCCATGATTGTTAATGTCATCAAATCTGTATCGTTCATTCGATTTTCACAAATGAGGTGTCAAATTCAAGGCCTTTGCATTAACGTGGTTTTAGTTTTTTGAAAAGGGTTGCCAGATGTTAGCAAATCAAATTCCAATTATCGTGAAATCGGTAGTATATGTACCGTTTCTATTAGGAGAAAACGCGGGACGTAAATCATTGTCATCTTGAAATAAACGTCCCGAGAGATTAAAAAAAAATAAAGGTCCCACATATTTATTATGAGAAGGCGTAAATAATTTTCGTCTTGAAATAAACGTCCCGAGAGACGCAAAAAATAAAAATTTCATATAATTATTATGAATAGACGTAAATAGTTTCCATCGGAAAATAATCGTCCCAGGAGACGAAAAAAGATATTTCTCGTAAATAATTATTATACAAAGACGAAAAAAATTTCTCTTAAAACAAGGCTACGTTTTTGATCTCAAATATTAGGATAATGATTATTTTGGGTCCCTGCTAGAAACACATTCCTAAAACAAAAGTCCAATGCCAAAATAAGATAAACCCGTTGTAAACACTATTGAAATTAGAAAATTTTAGTTGAGAAAAAGAAGTAAAAGCAAAGAATTTCACAAAGATATATTGAAATATTACTATTTTTCAAAAGTGCCATTTTAGCACTTTGTGACAAATTAAAAAAATTAAGTGCTATTAGAAGTAAAATAGGGATAAAAAATGGCACGGTTTGTGCTAACCAGACCTTGAACAACCGGATATTTAAGGACGCTTTCGGGATGTCTGGTTAAGGGTCGATTGCTTTAGCGATCATATGTTATATGCATGAATTGGAAGATGTTGATAATGATGTTTAACCGGAGATAAGTAGTAACCAGACATTGAATTACCGGTAGAAGCACCGGTTAAATATAACGACTGCTTTATCGATCACATGTTATACGCATGATGTCGAACTCGTCGATAATGATGTTTAACTGGGAGGTTCAATGTCTGGTTAACACTACCTCCCTGTTAACAGCATTACGACGTGATATCAGAATAACTGTGGTCGATAACGCAGTATACCCTTAACCAGCATCGCGAAAACGGCTCTACCGTATAGACAAAGGTAGACCCGAAACCGACTGATTTATCGTATAACATGTGATCGATCGACTGCTTTATGTATTTAACCGGAGCTTCTACCTCCGGTTCGTGCTAATCAGACATTGAACAACCGGCCCTTAATATCAAAAAGGGTCAAAAGTCGGCCAAATTTCAATATAGATAAACCATGCAAATCCATAGTTCACAACACCGTTCGTGATTACAACGACAAATTTAGCCGGTTGTAGCGTGGTGCTATGGTAACATCGTCTTTCGATTGATATAACGGTGTCGAACGTCGTACGATGTACGGGTAAGTCCGGAAACAGTACTCTAGGCGTACTATCTATAGCTATCTACATACGACGTCTCGACTAGAAAGTGCGGTAACGTCATAAGTTTAATCCTGTAGTTAGTGTCAACCAGACATTGAGTAACCGGCCCTAAGACAGCCTCTGTTGAAGCCCTAATCTCATTCGGCCACAGGCAAGAATTTTTACTACATGAATTATGTTTCGAAATCACGTGTGCTGCGCTTCCCCAGCATGGGTATTCCGGTTAAAATCCACTCCAGTCACAACTCGATGCCAGTTTGTTAGTTGTTTGTGAGAAAAGTAAAACTCGTGGATAAATCTTGTTTTTGGCTAGCACACATGCATGCTGTTGTCTTCTTTAAAACGAATAAGACTATAATTCAAATGAAGTGAGTTGCGCAAAGATATGGTGATGACACTGCTGGTATCTTCAGTTGTTTTGAATAAGTATGCTACTTTAGCTAGTAATGAATAATTTTATGCTTACCATAAACACATCCAAATACAAGACCATATTGTACCGATGGCCTTAACATACATACATACATACATACATATGTATATAAGTTTTACTAATGTATGTACATATGGCCAAAAGCGGTATGCATGTATGTATATGTGTATCTATCTGCATACATAACGATGCTAACTGACAAACTTTTGGATTTTCTCTTATGCTTCTTGGCTATGATTTGTGGCAAACATCAGGTCGACATGTTGCACGGTCGTATGTATGTTCATTTGTTCAACACTTGGCGCCAATAAGCAACCAAACCGTGAACATTAACTGAATAACTAAAAAAAAACAAAAACTCGGTTGCCATTTCACCTGCGACTGCAGCACGTTTGCAATCGAGTGCCACTGACATACTCGTCTCTGATAATTACCGCCAGACCGTCTTTGAAGCGTCGAAGCTTCAACACATTCTTTACCATACTTTCTACGTTGAAATTCTAATGTGAAACCTCAAAAGAAGCGAAATGAATGTGAGGAAATAGCAGCGTTTGTTTGCTGCCAACCCATAACGTCTAGGCGAGGCAGAAGCACACAATACAAATACATACATCATACTACATTCTATTTGTATTTGGTTAAGTGCTGCGCCAAGCGAAAATATTCTAAGACCAATTATGAAAGGTATTTCGAAAGGAAATCCTCAAATGAAGTTGGAAAATGCCAGGCATTAGGCTGACCCAGTATATCAGCGTTCACATGTGGCCATATGAAAGAAACATTTCCCTCAGGCTATGTTGATAGATCCGGTTAAAGAGAAACTAATTGGAGCAAAGTTTTATTGTTTTCACTTACACTCAAACCATAGCCATGCAGTGTTGCTCTCACTCGCTTGTGAATTCATTTATTGTATTGAAGTAGCAGAGATTAGCTATAAGAGTTACTCCTCGGAATTGGGTCAAAATGCTCAGAGGTGTTGTTGTTGTTGTTGTTGCTGTAGCGGTCTACTTAGCCCTAGCATCTAAACGTCACTGCTGTACAACCGGAGTGACACTATTTGTTAATAAAGCACAGTAACTCGGCGGGATGCTTCGGTATAGCCAGCTTCGCAAATCACCCGCTACAAAAAAAAATACCCATCCGAGTTGAAGATCATGAAAAAGCTTGTGAAGTTATCGGTTGACATTTAGGGGGGTAAAACAATTTGGCTATGAAGAGTGCGTCTAGAAATAGTGCGGAGAGAGACAACAAAGTCCCAAATGAATTGGACACTCTCAGTAAGCTAAGGGGATTCCCATTCGATCAGCCGAGTATTAGATGCTCGAATTTAGGTGCATACATATGTAGTATGTACATATATATGTAGTATATATGTAGATGCGAAACGCTTGTTGTGGTTATCGGCTTTGTTCATAGCCTCGCCCATAGCCAATATTCCATTATGGCAGGCATTAAATATTGCGCAAACGATGGAAAAACGGAATTATCCAATTTAATTCATAATTAAAAATTGCTCAGTTGAAGTCTTTGTTGAAGCCTTTGTTTGAGCCGTTTGAATTTTTCTGTGGCGTTGATGAGGTGGAGTTCATCGAATATTTCATTGTGTCTCAAAGCATTCGATTTTTATAATTAATTTTGAAAGTTTGTGGCTATTTTGCTATTTTTGTGTGTTGAATGCATTTGAGAGAT